TAGCATTCATATGTTGCCTTATCTGTTAAAAAGCCATCAAGGCAGTGTATAACAATTTGAAATAATTAAACCATAATGAGAAACTATTAAAACTTAAGAACATTAAACTACATATTTTAAAGGGCTAACTTGAAAAGGTGTCTTAAGGATGACAGTACAGTGGTACCTTGATTCATGAACTTAATCCATTCCATGACTCTCGTTGCGACCCAAATTGGTTGCAAACCAAGTCAGATTTCCTCATAAGGTTCAATGTAAATAAGGTTAATCCGTTCTGCACCATAACTTTATGTTATACATAAAGTATGGCATATAAAAGTTTTAAATAAATAAATAGATTTTTTTAAAACCACAAAAATATGAGCCATGTCCCTGGGGGCGGACGGGCCGAGGCAGCCTTCTCAGGGCAAGCCACCGCTGCTGAGTAGCTGCCGTGCTTCTTCCCCCCCATGGCGGGGAGAGGCGTGAGACACCCTACTCAGCCGGCCGCGGCCCTGTCCCTTGCCTCCCCTCACTTCAGCCCACGGAAAGCAACCCTTACATCCTTCCTCATGGCCCTCTCTCCTCTCTGGCCTCCTGCTCCTCCTCCTGGAGCCGGGCGAGCACCTGAGAGGGGACCTTCCTCCAGCTGAGAAGCAGGGTGGCAGCGAGGAGCCAGGAAGGCCTCGACTAAGGTGAGTGGGCCCTCATGGCTCCCCCTCGTGGTGGGTGGGGAGGTTATTGTTTGGAGCATATGTATGGGGAAGATGGCTACAATCCTGTTCATGTTCCATCGGGCGATCCTGGTCATCACCTGATGCGGAGTTCGTGAATGGAGGCAAAATTTTGCCAAAATTTCTGTTCATGACCTGATTTAGTCGTGAACAGAGGCGTTCGTGAAGTGAGGTACCCCTGTATCTTTAAGCAATTTAAATATATATTTTCATAAAAGATGTTGATTGAACGACAGTGAAGTAGGGAGTGAACCACTTGCTCTGTAGATCTTCTAATGCTTTGTTGGCATTGCTAATCAAGTATTTTACAGCTACAGATATGAGCTAGTCTGTGGAGGGAGGCTTTTGTGAGCTGTGAAAAATGCATCTCCTTTTGGTATTTAGGGTTTGTTTGTATGTATAGATAAGGGAAAATAATGGTTTGCTTGGTCAGAATGGGGGCATAAAATTGCAATCACTTTGAATTGCTTCAGCATCAACCATGGCCTATATGATTTAGCTACATGGGAGCATCGTGCTGCCATTACACTGACTGCTATATTTTCAGAGTTGGTTGAGATAATATAGTGTGAAGATTGTATTTAAAATAATGATGCAAAAATCATTGATTCAGCAGGAAGAACCATATAAAAAGGAACAAAGGGGAACTGTTCCACTTCAGAAATACATGTGTGGAAGCAATATTCTGAGCATCAGAAATAACCTAAAATGAAATCTATTCTTTTCGCATCATGGCAGTTGAAAGGTTCAATCTTGTGGATGTTTAGACAGCAAAAATACTTCTTTCTGTCTTAGCTGGTATTGGACTGTACCCTAACCCTGTCTGTGCCCTTTTCACAGTAGTTTTTGCTTAGTGTAAGCCACATTGATAATTTAATTCAGTGGCTTCTAAGTGAGTCTTTTGGCAAAAAATATCTGGAGGAATTTGTGGAATTTATTCTTTTTATTAAGTTTGAGACTATCAGTAATTATATTCATGAAAGGATTGTTCCAAAGCTAAGGATTCACCTACCATACTAGTTGGTTTAATTTCTTCTTGTTTAACTAGTTAGATGTCTAAAATAGAGGTTCAAAGATGGTAGAAATTCTGGGGTAATTAAGGGCCATTGTAATATAGGTATATGAAATGAAAATAGCTCAGTTGGCATTTATAACCTTAATGAGTTTGCTTTAAAAACATGCACTCTTACTCCACAGTATTAACACATTTAATTCTGAAATGAGCATGTTAGAGCTCTTTTTCTTTTAAACCTAGTAATCCCCTAGATGGCAGTGTTTGAAAAGCAATTGGTTAAAAGCGATTGGATACCTTTTGACATAATTGTTGATTTAAATTTAAAAATCAAGTTTTTCTCTACTGCAGATAATTTTGTTCTGAGACAGTCCTAGACTGCCAGAAAGATATTGTTTCAAAAAGAGAAAAGCTCAAAAGACTGCATATTATCAATAACTGTTATAAACTATCCAGAGGGCTTCTATTAGGCAGCACAGAAATGTAATAAATACATGTATATGTTTATGACTGTTGGCATCTTCATGTAGACAGAGGCCCACAGCTACATAAGTGTTAAATCCTGTTGAAGTCTTTAATGCACCCTTTTTTGCATTTCTTATAATAAAATACTAAATTTTTTACAGTCATACACTCCTACCTTTGTTAGAAAGGAAAACAGAATAGGAAGCATCCTGCATATAGCTTACTCAGAATAACTGCCACTAGCATATTCTATCTGAACGAAATATATGGAATTCAGACCTATGCTATACTGAATAGAATGGAATAGAATAGAAAGTAAGATTCCTTTAAACTTCTCTTAAAAACTGATAGGATGGGCAAATGGTTTAGTATGTATGAAAGACAATTAGCAAAAATGTTTAATTAGTTCCAAAATTGTAATTCAAGTATTGAATAAATGCATTAAAAAGAACAACCAATTTTTGATTAACTTTACACAGATATGGTTTCTAAGCAAGTTTAGTTTAGGAAGAACCTACAGCAAGAACAGCATTCTTATACATATAATCTCATGGGACTCTGTGGAGGGTGAAGTAAGCAAGCACAGTATTTAGCACCTTCTATGGACTAGAAGGTGGTCCATACTTTCTAAGTGGTTTTAGAAAGTATCAAATGGAGGTAAAAGCTCCACCTTTCCCTTTCTGAATCTAGTCAGACATGCTCAGCCTTCTGTCCTTTTAAGAATGAGAGTTGGAGCCTAGATGGGTTACAGTCCCTAAGAGAAATCTAGATTAGCCCAAGATCAGAACCACCAACGATCAGTTTACTGTTCTGCCCCAATCATTGAGAACCCACACAATTATCTCTTTCTTCTCAAGTTGCATTCTCTTCCCATCTACTGTGACTTCCAGAAACAGATTCAGCTTCTATAGTAACATCTCTATAGAATGCTGTCAACTATTCATTGGGTATATGTAGAGATGGGGAAATATGTTTACTTCCAGTATATATCTGTTGAAACTTAGGCTCTCTGTTCCACTGAGTAAAGGACAAGATTAAAAGTTGTAAAAAAGTTACGATAGTCTGCAAAGTTCACTTCATACAGAGTCATGCCAAAATGCATAGGCGCCTATATACACTTTGTGTTTCTTGAGCTTTGTGGGTATAAATTGCCCTAGGGAAAAATATTTTTGTCAATTAACAGTTCCTGGCCAAATCACTGGTGACAGAGATACTGATGTAAATGGCCCAATAATAAAGTAAATGAAAAGGTTGGTTTTTCTTGTCCTGAAAAAAATGTATATTTTTATCTGAAATAAAAGCCCAGGTCTTCTGTTAAATCTCGGACCTTGTTGCAAAATTAGTGAGAGGAATTGGATGTACTGATCAAAGATCTGCTCTTTTTACTGCTCCTAGATTTTCCTAGTAGACAAGTCATTTTTTAAAAGAAGTCTTGTAATTTGGGAGAAGCTTTTTGGAGGAAACTTCAACGGGTCACAGTAGGGAAGAGTGGGTAGGAAATCTATACTGCACAAATAGATGTATGCTCACTTGACTTTTGGATGCTACCCTGTGAATTTGTTTCTTGTGCTCACTGGACTTCTTTCCCACACTTGGTCTTGTCCAGGAAGTTAGCCACATGAAATCAGGTTCATGAACACTCAGGAATCTATTGGACTCCTTTGTGCTATGTACTTGAACTCCACAATGCACAAGTGGCTTTGTGGACTTGGACTCACTTCTTATAGGATGCCCTTGCAAATGCTTGTTGTGAGGTAGACTTGGAATAGAGAGAAAGTGGGCAGGAGTTTGGGCAGCTGAGTAGAAGAAATCCAGCTGACCTCCACCCCCAAACCAAATTTGTTACATATTGAAAGTGAGGTATTGTTTCTTTACTGTCCTCACTGCCCCTTATTGACACATATCAGGGCTCAAAGTCATCTCCTGATTTATTTCTTTACTTTCTGTTCTTCTTAAATAAGCCCCACCTTTACAGAGAGGAAACTACTGCTACTCTAAATCTCAACAGGTAGTGATCCAACCATGGCAAAAAGGTCCATTAAAAGTCCTCCACCCTCAGATCATTATCCCTGTGCCCAGTCGTCCCCCCCCCCCCCCCAAATCAAATCTAGTGCATGCACTGCTAAATGTATTGGGTTAATGACATGCTGGGACAGTCCCATGGTTATAACGGAGCGGCTGCAGATAGATTGCCCTCAGTATAGACATTAACATCTAGGAGTGCTTGGGGAACATCAGCATTGCAACTGAGACCACCTCTGTCAGCTCATATAGGGAGTCTGTTGAGTAGTGGGTGTGAGTGGTACACCAACAGGAATCCCTTATCTGTCCTGGCTCCAAGATGTAGAGTCTGTAAACCAGTGATCAGATGTACAGGAGCCTTAAAAGAGAGAGAGAGATTTCCTATAGACCACAGCAACCCTCATGTCTACCCTGATGCTGGACCTAGTACTTCTGTGAACATAACTGGGACACAATTCCTTCCTGTTCATCCACCTAGGTCTTGGAATTACTGTTGCAAGCTATGAATTATTGTGCCACATAAGCTGCCTCATCCACTATTACTTCGTGAATGAGAGTTGTCTTGCTTTGTACTGATGTGGCTTTTAAAATCAGAATCTTGAGATATGAGGGCTGATACAGCAATCTCATTAAAAAATCTACTGTTTTATATATATGGCATTTGGATGGTTTATGTAAACTTCTCTCTCTTATAGAGTAAACAATATTTCTATTTTGTGGATAACATTTGCAAAAGAAGTTGTTACATATAAGTATTGTAAGAGCTATTATGTTTCTTCTTCTTACAGTGGTAACATATTTGGTGGGCTACTTACAGTAGCATGCTTCTTTTTCAACCATGGTGAGGTAGGTCTCCCAGAATTTAAAATCTGTTGTTGAATATGAAATCACATCATTTGCTTTTCAAACTGATATTCTTCATAACCTTCAAGGTAAAATCTTGTGGTTTAAACATGAGATACCACCTTTAACATGGTAGATGGTGGGCATGTCCTAGGTTGTTGGTAAGTACTTCCTTTACTTACACAGCTTCTTGCATATAGAAAGTTCACATAATGTGCACCTAATTCTGTACTTATTTACTTGGAAGTAAATCCCACTAAATTTTGTGGAACTTGCTGTCAAAAACTATGGTTAGGATGTGCTGAGCAGTTTTCTATGAGCTAAAAATAAAGAACTAAAATATAGCTTGCTAACTGGTACACTAAAAATATAACTGTTAATCAGTTTTGTCATTCTGTTCTTGACTAATTTAAGCAAATGGGACCTTCAAGAAAATTTCAGTGCAGTGTATTTCTATTCAGGATCCTTTTCTAGAATATTCTGTTTACATTTCTTTCCCCATATGGATTCTTTCCCCCACCCTAATAATCACCCAGCATTCATGCTAACTTACTGAACTGTTTTGGAGTGACCTTATATTTTTGTACTGTTCCAAGTCTTAAGGTTATTCCAAGCCTAGAAATACCCGTTGTGCTTGGATAGTGCATTTGTTTTGATTTTTGAAACTCACCGTTAGAAATAAACTAAAAGAGAAAGAAACTTTCCACACATTATGTAAGTGTAAAGCATTGGGTTTGGGGACTAAGTGCTAAGTATTTCCTTCTTGAAAACTAAAACAACCCGTTATGGACTTTTTCAGTTAGATAATTCTGTAAAGCGGAATTTGAGTTGGTTTGGACATGAAACAATTCCTAGACATTATCTGGAGGGCCATATGGTGATTTGGATTTCCAGCTCTGAATTCAGAAGTAATGTTCCAAACTTGAAGCTGGGGCTTGGATCTCCAGTTCCCTGCCCCTCACTGCCAACAGAGAAAGAAGCACACTGGCTATTTCTGAGGTCAGAAAAGTAACCTCAGAGAGAGGTGCAAGGGAAGGTAGGGAAGGAGATTGGAGTGTCCAGAATATAAGAAATATTAATGTATTTAGTGTATTTATTCTTCCAATGTTTTCTTTATTCTTAGAGTCTTTGAATATATGTATTGTTGGTGGATCTATCCATAATTTTAATATTGCTATCATTAATTTTACTTGCAAATTCATTGCTTGGAATAAGAAGAAAAATTGAAGAATTGGAACATAGAGTAAATAAACACAATTCTTATTTTCAGAGTACTCGTGTGATGTGGACTCCCCCTCTTCGTGAAAGCTTCTCATATCCTTTCCTTGTGATTCAGATGTTATTACTAAGCTACATTCTAAGGTAGTTTCTGTTTCTTTCAGTAGTTAAATATGAGGAATTAAAACATGTACTCCCACAAGGAATTGATTTATATCTTATGCAGAACATGTTATTACTAGTGTTGTGTCAAATACTTTCTTTTTAGCTGTAACTTCTCTTAGATCTGTATTGCAACCATCCAGAATATCTGCCTGTTCCAATACTGCATGCAGCCCATAGTTCTTTTTAGTAATCTTCTTTTCTCTATTCATATACATTTAGTTAATATTTGATTGACTTGGTTAGGGAAAGGAGAATGGCTCACAGTAACGAAAGCAAAGAAATGGTGTTGGGGGAAGTTGGAAGGTTATGAGGGCATGTGGAAGCCTGAGATTTGCTTCCTGTCATGATGTTGAGAACATAGTATCTGACCAGGGTTGGCTCAAAATGGCATTTGTGACTTCAGGTGTGGAGTTGGAAGGGGCCAAGAAGACCACTGAGTCCAACCCCCTGTTGTTGCAGGTCACCAATTTAGACCATCCTACTCAATGTTGCCACAGTATTTTTTATTACTAGCAATATTACACTCATAAGACATTTTCATACTTTTCCTTTGTACAGCTAAACTTTATGGTTCCTTGGTTTACATATCTTTTCAATAAATAAATGTCTAATTTCTAGTTCATTTTTGATATTATGTGTTAGTGATGATCCACATCATTATCAGGGCTTATCTAGTCCTTCTAAAACTGTTCTTTTATAGCAATAACAATTTTGATTGAAAAGTCAAGACAGTTGATTTCATTCTTTTCTGCTCTTTGCATTAAAATGACTATTCATAACTTGCTATTCTTTTTTTCTTTCCCCCCCCAAGGACTCAGAAGGTTAATAGAAGAAGCCTGATTGCACTATCTGTTTCTAATGTTTTTTTCATGCTTCCATGGCAGTTTGCTCAGTTTGTCCTTCTAACTCAGGTAAGATAAGTTTAACATATCTGAGTAAAATTATAATCTTCCATTTATATTTATATCCCATTTTTAAAAACCGTTTGAAGTAGTGCATTGCAATGCAGAATGAATATATGAATATGTAGTGTTGTGCATGCATGCATCCTGTCAAAATTCAGGGGTGCTCATGCAGGACTGTGCAGGTTGTGCTGATAATTCAGATTCTGATTCTGAATATGGGAATGTTTTTGAAACAGCACAGACTCCTACTGTGGTTCAAGGTCCTGAGACCCAATGGGAGGAAATAGTGGGGGAGATTAGTATAAGAACAAGGCAGGGAGACTAGTCAACTCAGCTGTGGGAACATTGGGGAATTGCAGTCTGAGGAAGGAGACTTTGGGAAGTCTGTCTAATGGAGAACCCATCCCCTAAAGAAATAGACCCAATCATTTGCCCAGTTTGGAGGGAAGCCTAGTTTGGAGTGCCCATTTTTATAGCATGTCTCCTCGGGGGTGAGACATAGAACAGCTTCTGCAGAGACCGTTGGGAAATGAATGGTAGAAGGGGTTCAACGCTTCACTATGTATATGCTCAGAGACTCTTAACTTACAGTGAAGATCATTAAGCAAAGAAACAGTGATGAGACTGTTTAGAGGGAGAAACATGGATTATAGATACAGTAAAACCTTGGTTTGCAAGCATAATTCATTCTGGAAACATTCTTGTAATCCAAAGCACTTGTATATCAAAGCGAATTTCCTCATAATAAATAATGGAAACTCAGATGATTTTTTCTACAACCTACAAATATTCATATAAAACTGTCTACAATACTGTAATATAATGCAAAATAATAAAGAAAATACAAAATATAAAGAAAAATAAAGCAAATTAACCTGCACTTATCTTTGAAAACCTTCGTGGCTGGTTTGAGGGAAACGAGAGAGGAGGGTTATTGTGTAGGACAACTTTCAGTATCACTATCAGAATCACTGCTATCTATTGGCTGAATGGAATCTTTTTCTTTTCATGCAACTTCAACAAGGAACCTATCCAATGACACTTGCTTTTGCCTCCTTTTGAGGATTTCGCAGAAATGTGACATTGCATCTTTAAACAGATTCATCGCTCGCCCTGCTACAGCCTTATTTGGATGGTACTTTTCTATAAAATTTGCACTGTTTCCCACATTTTACACATCTCCTTAATCTCATTTGAAGTGAGGGATTCCTCCGGCTTTTTCTCCTCCTCCTCCTCTGTAGATGAGATCTTCTCCATAACCTCTTGCATCTGCTTTACCTTTCAGTAGCTCCCTCTTGGGGGTGGGGCAGGGGGGATACTGAAAGGTAAAGCAGATGCAAGAGTCTAACCTTGTAGTACAACACACCATGTACTTCTCCCACACAAGCCTTGAAGTCCACAGTTAAGACCTGACATGATTTTTAAACAGATCTTCACAACAAAGCACCAAATATACACCAAATCATTGGAACAATTAAATAGAACCTGATTTAACTTAGTCAATGTCAGTGTACAGCACTAAACAACCTAAGACTAATAAAAACAACCCCTTTGTCTTCAGAATGAGCGTATGCCTTGCAGGAACCAACAAGGAAATGCTGTCACCTTAAATCTGCTTCCAGCGCATTCCTATGCATGTTTAGCCAGGAAAACAGTTCTGTAATTCCCAGCATACCCTCCCTTCTGGAGGACCGCAGCGAGTGAGAGAGAAGAACCATTGGCTCAGTTGTGATCATGTGATGTTTGGCACAGCGAGGGAGGGAGGGAGGGAGAAAGCAAGAGCGCCATAGGCTCAGTTGTGATCATGTGACATTCAGCATCGCACGCTATCGCACGTATTGCAAGATAAAACGCTCGTTTTATCAAGTTAAAATTATTAGAAATGTTGCTTGTCTTACGGAACACTCACACAACAAGTTACTTGCAATAATCCAAGGTTTTACTGTATATTCCTTTTGGTGAAAGCAGCATGTCCAGTGGTTTGATTCTCTAGTTCACTCCATAGGCAGCCTAGGATGGTTCGTGGATACTACATTTGTATACTTGAGCTCATAATGTATTCTGTAGTGTTTTATTTATTTATTTAAAACATTTTTATGCCACTCCCATCGCAACAAAGCCTCTGGGCAGCTCACAACAAAAACAAAATACATAAATATAACAATTATACAAGTAAAAATATTAAAACCCGGTGCATCTCGGCTTAAAAGATATAAAATCCTATAAATACAAATAAATTAACAATTAAAATGAGTTTTAAATAAAAAGGTCTTAGCCTGGCACCGAAAAACGACGGCACCAGGCGGACCTCTCTGGGGAGCACATTCCATAGATGGGGCGCCCCCTCAGAGAAAACCCTCCTAATATTCACAGAGGGTTCCCGGAGAAGGGCATCTGTTGCTGATCTCAAGGGGCGGGAGGGCATATATGTACGCAAGCGTTCCTTTAGATACCCAGGTCCCAAGCCGTTGAGGGCTTTATAGGTCATAACCAACACCTTGAATTGGGCCCAGACTTCAATCGGGAGCCAGTGGAGCTGATGGAGAACTGGGGTTATATGAGAACAACGCCCAGTCCCCGTCAGCAGCCTGGCAGCTCTATTCTGCACCAACTGAAGTATCCGGACCGTCTTCAAGAGTAGCCCCACGTAGAGCGCGTTACAGAAATCTAATTGGGAGGTTACCAATGCGTGTGTCACTGTTGCCAGGCAGTCGTTTTCCAGGAAGGGATGCAGCTGATGGATCAGCCGAAGCTGAAGGAAGGCGCTCCTCGCCACCGCCGTCACCTGAGCTTCTAGAGCAGGGGTCTCAAACTCGCAGTCTGCAGGCCAGTTGCCGGGATGGGCGGGGCACAGGGGAGGGGCCCTGTGGCCTTCAAAGCACCGGTGGCGCCCGGGCCCACCACCACTGCGGTGGTGGAATACTTGATGCAGCCCAGCCTCACCCAGACTCTACTTCCAGCGGCCCCCAGGTAAGTTGAGTTTGAGACCCCTGTTCTAGAGACAGCTCAGGGTCGAGGAGCACTCCTAATCTGTGAACCCTGTCCCTCAGAGGGAGTGCAACCCCATTTAGGACAAGGCCCAAGTCCCCCATCCTGAGGCCCGAACCACCTACCAACAGGACCTCCGTCTTGTCTGGATTGAGCTTCAGTTTATGTTGGATAATCAGAATTTATAGTAGGAAGAATCAAGAGAACCATGTTTCCATGCTCCCCTATTTACATGTTAGGAAGAATAATGTAAAAGAAAGGCTGCTGAACATTTGTAGGCCTTCCTCATGATCCCTCTTTTTATGTGGGGTTCTAAATCACAAATAAATAGATGTCCCTACTCTTCCCTACTCTATTCTCTTCAATGTGGAGAAGCATGACTGGCAGGTGCAACCCCACACTTCCCAGAAAAAAATGTTTTTCTTCAGAATCTAAGCCCCAAAACTCCTCAGTCCAAACATCTGAGCTTGCTTTATAGTTGTGGTTTGCATAGCTTCAAGCCATGCTAATCCAAAATTTAAGGCTTGCAACTAGCAGTGAACCCCTCTGTTTATTCAAAATCAAGTATTGTCTTGCTCCCTTAGCTTAATGCACTAGTCAGTATTAGAAGTGTATGAAAATAACAGCCCCAAAGCTGTTCACTGTTTATAACTAGATTGATGAATAGAAGATGTTTTTGAGCTATCAAATGACTATTTTTGTATTGACTCTTAGAAGGCATGATGCACTTATTTTTCATATTAGTGGCTGCTTTCTTCAGATTAATTGTGATTCAGCTGCCAGGATTCACTTGCTGTTTCAGTTGACATATGAAGTAAAATATTCATTTCTTTTTTCTAGCTACTGATTCCTGTACAGGGCATATTTGAAATTGCCTTCCATTTGCAGAGCAGTTTGCCAGGTGGCTTACAGGCTTTTGCACAAAAACAAGTTGGAAGCTGTCCTCATAGAACAAATTGCACCATAGTATGAAAGCTGGCTAATATTCTTTTGGGCTGAGTGTATTTTCAGTTACTTTATTTTTGAATTGCAGGTGGCAACGGTTTTTGGTTTATATATATTAGGATTCATTGATTCATCTAAACTACAGAAGATACTTTTTGCGCATATGGTAATACCTAATCTTGTTTAACATTTTGAGTTAAAACTAATTTCTGGAATTTATGTGTTTTTGCTTGTTTATGTAGTATAGATATCTTGCCTTTTCTCCTTTCAAGGAACTCATGGCAACTCTCTTCCTCTCAACCTTACCCTCACAGCAACAAGGCTGGGCTGAGAGTCTTTGACTGACCATGTACTTACCATCCAGTTGGAAGGGAAGAGAACTTCAAAGCCCTGCACACTACTTTTTAGAAAATTAATTGGCCACAGTCAAGTATTATTGGATTGCTTTTTCCCACACAAAAAATTAATAAACAGGCATTTTAAAAGTGTTAAAAGCCCATTCAAACTCACTAGATATGTCTATGGAGACATGAATTGTGTCACCAACAGTGAACAGTTTCTACTCAGTAATGTGGGCCATTAAATTCGGTGAAGTTTAGTGCCAGGTAGGTAGGTACTATATTGCAACCTACGCTTGCCGCATGAAATACAATATTTTGTATTGTATTTATACAAAATACAATATTATTTTATTTTGTATATTCTGAGGGATTCTTTTGGAAACTAGGAAGCTAAATTATTGGTGATAATCAGTATTTGCCAATGAAATAGAGCTGTGCCAAGATAGTACCTTTAAATTTAAAAAAGTAAAACTCATTGATTTCACAGACAGTCATGTCCATTGCTTTCAAATATGACTATATGTTTATATCCCTTTAGGCATCACTTGCAGTATGTTTTGTCCTTATGTTTGGAAACTCTATGTTGCTGACATCCTATTATGCTGCCTCTTTGGTAGTTAGTTGGGTAAGTTAGTAATGGAGTATTCTACAATATTTGCCTTTCCATACTGGATTATTGCAATAATTCACATGTTATTTAAACAAAATGATTTTTAAAAGATCTTTTAAAATACTTTTTAAAAGCCTGGTGCTATGTTTGGAGAAGGGATGAAACAAGGAAAGTTTTCTATTTCAAAAATAAGATTTATTATTTGAGTGAATGAATAGAGCTCGCTGTGAGCATGCCCATTTATAGAATAAATGTTGGGCACCTGATGGGTCTTTATGGCATGATAGTGCAACTGATGGGGAAGAACTTGTATTTTTAGAAGCATTTCAGTATGTATCAGAAAAGATTTTCTGTATTAACTGCATAAACTAGAGGCAGTTTTCAGACTTACTAACAGTTTTGTGCATGCTTAATTTTAGTACCTTCTGAATTGATAAAAGATACAGATTTCTTTATTCAGTGAAAAAATAATTAGTGTAATTATAAATGTTTCATTACTGGTTGTCTGAACTAAAGGCAGAATTAAGTAATGGATCTTGAAGAAGATACATTAATAGAATGGTGTTATAGAATGTTTTAAATGTCTATGTTGCCCTAATTAATGGTTGGTAATGTGTAGCCTAGAAAAAATACCTATGTTTTATATCTATTTTGTCCCATGGCTGTTGCTTTTACACAAATTCATAAAAGTGGCTCTCTGTTGGGTAGAGTATGTGATATGTGACTAGTGAAAGGTGGAGTATGTGATGTATAAGTAGATGGCAGCAATGTACAATACAATTTTGCATGTCTGACTGCAGAATGGTTCAGTTTCTAAATGCTGAAACTGCAGCTGTACACAGGTATCTGCACATATATTATGCAATAAATCTATACATTTGGCTGACATTAACTACATACAATGCTGACTCCAGGCATCTCCTGCCTTCATTTTCATTTATTTATATTGATTGTTTCATCCTCTGGAATACAATTTGGAGAAATATTGCTGAAGTAGTAGTATTAATAGAACAATTCCGTTATTTTAGGGTATTCTTGAAATGGGTCCTAAATACCTGAAAGTGCGTGGAAAAAGTGTTCCTCTGTGGGTAAGGACTGACATTGTTATAAATATTGCATGGTGTGGTAGTATGAATATCACCCTGATAATCTGTAGACAGTAGAAATAAAATGATAAGGCTGATAGACACCTTTTCAATAAATCCTAACATTTAAATCTCCCCCCCCAAAAAAAAAATAAAAAATCATCCTAAGACATCTGTCCATTTTAATAGTTATAAGTCTTTTTTCCCCTCTTCTGCCATTTTGGAACTCTGAAACATAAATGAAAAATGTTTCACTTGCTGACTTGTTTGCTTGTTTAAATTACTTTTTTAGTAATTTAAACTTATTCTTACACAGTTTTAAAGATTGCATTAGTGCTGTGTTTTTTCAATTTAATTGTAAGTTACTATTAGGGTTTGTCCAGCTACAATCCTATGCCCACTTCAATAGGAGTACGTCCCACTGAACCCAGTGGCACTTGCTTTTGACTAGATATGTATAGGATTGCGTTTCTTGAGGATACAAAATATAAATGCAATGCATGAAATGTTACAGACTGAATCCAGACATAACATAGAAGCAAAGCAAGCCCTCTGGCTTGCATGTTGCCTACTCAAATATGCTTGATCCTCTAGGCACTGTCTAATCTAACATTTGTGTTGTCCTTAACCTCCTCTCTTTTCTAAGTCTGGCAACTTTGCAGCTGAGCTTGGTGCCTATGCAGTGATGGTGAGGTGCACGCTGAAGAAAAAAATGGGCTAGGTTGCTTCCTTTCCCTCCATCCCTTGAAGTGGGTTTGTGGGTTATGTACACACTTGCTTCTCCCCCCCCCCCCCATCCTTCTCTGTATGCTTGAAAGCATGAATACACAGTAGTTGACTTACCTGCTTTCATGAGGGAATCAGGAGTTTTGATTCCTTTTAGTACTGCAGTTATGAAAATGTTTAGGGTTAATGAAATAGTTTCATGAATAAAATACATATTCAGATCAAGACATTCAGGTCAGTATTGCAGTAGAATCAAACTCTGCCTTCTCTCATTCCTGTTACTGGGTTTTCTAGCCTCCAGCAATAGGAATTGGAGGGGAGGGAGCTTAGCCATCAAATACAGGTCTTCCCCTCAATTCATCCATCATAACAATGGCCATTTTCCATAGTTACAATAGTAAGATCAAATGTTAATTATATTTTGTGTAAGCCTGTAAAACCTTATTTTTGTCTTGAATGCTTGTTTTACTGCTTCACCTAACAATGTGTGTTTTACAGGCCATTGAAGGATTTTCTTGTCTTTTTGGGACAATTACTTTGAAATCTTTAATGTGTATAATATTTGGAATATCGGATGATGTAAGTAGAAACGTAATACTATCAAGGTCATTGTTAGTCATATATTAATCTATTCAAATGATCTCAAAAAAACATGAAAGTATAAGATTGGTCAAATCAACAGTATTTGAAATTTTTTTAGTTAGACTGAAACTCTTATTACCTAATAACATTTACTTAAGAGTAAGGCTTACTGAATACGGTCAGATATGTTAGTATGACATGGCCCTAAGTGTTATGAAGACTAGAGCATGAGGTTTGTGCTGTTCCAGAATTCCCCTTCCACAAATGCAGTACTTCTAGAAAACTGGATTCCATCAAAAACTAGTTTTACTGTTGTCTGGCTTTCAAGTTCTTGATTTTTATTTAGTTAAAAGATTTATTTTCTATCTTTTTGCTATAAAAAGCCTTCAGTGTGCTCTCAGCTATGATTAAAATGATAAACAATCAACACATAATTAAACTGCATACAAACAACATTGTATTTATTCCAGTGAAATAGTTAAAAGCAGTTCTTAGTAATTAAGGCTTGGGTAGACAGGATAGACTTGGCCTGGAATCTAAAAGATAGTCATGATGATGTTAGGTGAATCTCTATAGTGATGGAATTCCATAGCTGGGGCCCAGTTGCAAAGAGTGCCCTTTTATTACCATTGTCTGACCTTCAAAGGCAGGGAGATAAATCAAAGCCAGCGCTTTGGATTGTGCCTGAAATAATCTGGAAACTAGTGAAAATCTCTAAATATGGGGACTGTGTTCATTATGACAAGTTATGACAACATCTGTCTCCTGTATCAGCTGAAACTTTTGAGTTCTTTTCATGGTTAACTTGTGCATGGATAGCAGCTGAACTATTGACAAAATTAAGGAAAGACACTTCCTGTTATACATGCTGCTTGAACATCCTTAGATAAAGCCTGATCTAGAGCAACAGCAGGTTGTGAACCTGGCCTTTCATGGGAGTTCATCCCTGTCCAATATAAGTCAAACAATGTATTTGCAACAACAAAAAGCCTGCAGTATATCCACCTTTGCCTGGTATCTGTCATATAGTATACAAATTGCTTTATTCTTAAAGTCTCATATTAACTATTGTACTTTGTATATGACATTTCATAATGACGACCCATTATAGGTCATTATAAATGTGTTCCTTTTTCTGTTTTCTGTTTTTTAAAAACAATGATTTTTTCAAATTCCTGAAAGCAATTCTTTAACACACACTTTCCCTGTAATTTCTTTTATCAGGCTCATATAAGCAATTTGTTAAAAGCAAAACTTACTGGTTATAAGGATTTTGATACATCAATGTATACTTGTGCTGTGGAATTTGATTTCATGGAAAAAGAGGTAATTAAGTTCTATTGATAATAACAATAACACTTCCTAATTTTTGCAGTTTTGTTCTACCTTTTCTTGATACTGCAAAACAAAAACCCTTTGTGCCTGAGTTGCTTCTTTCTTGCAAAGGCAAAGATACAAGTCCTTAACGTTTAATTACGCTGGGTAACAACAGTATTATGGGATGACAAGCAGATGGTCCTACACTGTTTAATGCAACTACATTTTTATAGTAATATCACCAGCCTGAAATCATGCTTATGAGCATTGAGGGCTAATGCCTAATTAGTAGTAGTATATTGGTGCAATCCCCAACAGGATTGCAAGTATTAATACAATTTGGTTTTAAGTCTTTGAGCTTCCCTTCATCTATTATATTGCTTTTCATCTTTTGATACTGCCATGTTATATAATGCAAGTCTCTAAAGGTAGATTTGCATGCTTATTTTTGATCTTGTATAATAGATTGTAGATCTTGCATAATAACTTTTCCATGTCTGCTCAAATGATAGTTTTACCAAGACTGACTGTGAAAAAAGTCATATTAAGGAACACCTGTGAGGAAGTCTTGCTTAAGGGCTGTTTCAAATACCTGCATTCAGTGTGAACAGTCTCCACATTATTTGGACATTAGTTTGGATGCGGTTGAACTTGTTTTTCCCCTCTTCTACAGACCTTCTAATTCTACATGCACTTGGGAAGAGATAAAGCAGGTTTTAATTTGATTTTACTGAGATTATGAGAGGTCATGGGGCAGCTTTGAAGCTGACAATGTTTTAATTGCTATACTAATTGATGTTGACAAATTGACATACTAAATTAGGGAAGAACAAACATCATTGTCCTAAGATCAGAAAACATATTTCCAATAACTGCTATTGAGCACTGAATTCTAAGTTATAGATATGAATGAGGGAAGGAGGATGTGTCCCATTTAGTTTTTTTAATATAATTATTTAAATTGGCCCATTAAAGATTGAATAACCAAGACTTCAAAATCATTGCATGCAAATTTAAAAAATCAAATTCAAAGTAGAATAAGTGAAATCTTGGTTTAAATCATGTGGAAAAAAGACTAACTTAAGTTGTGCTTTTAAATCAACTTTTCCATGTTTACTGAGCAAGTGTGAACATTTCAGTTTTCATTTACAACTAGATGAAGCCTTTATGTCACCTTTGGCCATACAGCCACACATGCCTTTTCTACTGTAGAGTGACATCTGAAGATAAATAAAAATTTAAATATAAAATATTCTTTTAGAAGATTGAAATGGATTTTTAGTCTGTCAATTTCTCCTTTCCAGTTTGTAGGTTTATATGAAAGGTGGGCAACCCATGCTGCCTCCAAATTTATTAAAAATAATTGGAAAAATAACGTCATGGCTACAGAGTGTTAAAAGGGTCATCCAGTAGCTTGCAGACAAGCTAATGTTGATCCTTTGGGCATCCTGTGGAGTCACTATATAGGCCATTTTCCTTGCACCTGTGGGGTAAGGAAATGGCATATTTTATTTTTAAAATATTTTATATTTCATTTTTACTCCACAGAGTAAAAATAGCCTCTTGGCCTCCCCAAGTCTCCCAACCCAGTTTTATATTGTTTTTCTTAGGATTATTATCTGGGTTTTGCAGATATTCTGAGATGCTCTTTTAAGTGAAAGGAAAAACCCACACATTTAAAATAAGCAAATTAAACTTTATATGTTTCCAAATAATACTAAGGAAAGTTGCTTACTTAAAGGCTAAGTCTTCAAATTCATTGCCCTACTCATTGAAAACAAATACCACTGAATAAACTGGCGTTGGATATTGAACCAAAATGTGCAAGAGGACTGCATTCCTAGCAGCCAAAGTAGGCTTTGCACTAAAAGCACAATAGCTTATTTAGCTTCCCTTTTAACATCCAGCATCTTACTTTTTGTATGGAGTTTCTGAAAATTGCTTTCCCTCAGGGAGATTGGTAAAATGTATACAATATAGTACAGAAATGCTTTGGAAAGGAACAAGAGAGAGAGATCCATATTAAGATACAAGGCAAGATAGCATAAAACGGTGACATAACTAGAATAAAAATGTCTGTCTGCTTTACAATCACATTTGAGAGTTTCTGTGCCTAAATTTTACCACCGGTTAAATCTTTACATTTCAGACTCCAGTAAGGTACATGAAGACGCTACTGCTTCCAGTAGTTCTTGTTGTTTTTTCTGTAATTGTTGTAAAGGTATGTTACTGCTATTTTTCATTTCATTTACCTTTAACAAGCATAGTGTGTTAAAAGAAGGCAATTGATGGTCTTAAACTGGAGCACAATGGGTGCAATTCCAGTTGATGTAGCCCCATCTAAACACCAGACCTCCCTCTTGCCTTTCACATAAATGTGTAAAGAAGTGTATGTACTGAGAAAAACATCTAGCTTACATAAATCTGAAGAAAGAACCACTATTTAAAATAGCAGTTATTTTAAAGAGGGTAACTGAAGAAACTTCCTTTAACAGCTGTGAGTTGGAGGTCTGGATTTAATGTCTTATGAAAAACATGTGCTTAGATGGGGCCACATAAGCTGGAAATGCACCGTGTGCCCCATCCATAAGAAGTTATTGTTTTGTTTCTCAACCCAGACTGCTTGCTGTGGGGAAAATGCATCTGTTTTATCCACAGTGGGTTATTTTATCTTTTAGGCTCAGGTGACCAGTCCTAACATAGACAAAGGAAAAGTGGTGAATGAGTTGTGAGTTAAGAGCAGTAAAAATACCTTTGCTGCTGTTGACAATCTTACCTGTGTCAATGTCAATTATAGCCCTCAAAAGTGCCCAACTGGTACATTTGAGGGATTATCTCTGTTTGTCCACCCTTCCTTTTTAAATTGCACTTCCAATTTAGCAAAATGTTATTATTTGTTTATTATTATTTTTCTAGTTGGATTTACACATGTATAGAGGTGCCCACTTCCATGGGTCTGAAATAGGAAGCCTTGCCTGGGCAATGTCCTGGGGGATAGCTGATGTGAAAATGCAGCAAATTGATCTAGAGATAGCTTAGATAGGGTTGCATGTGTATAACATTATGAAAAAATGTATCCCTTTGGAGCACAAAATGGGTTCTGAGCCAGTGACTGGCCCTCCAGAGGGGCTTTATTTCCTGTCAGCACAAAAGGTGATTTCTGAAAAAGGGAGTTTAAAAGGGGGATAATGCTGGGCTCATAGTCATTGCAGGGAACGAAGACAAGGTAGCTTTGGATATGATGTCCCCAGGAATATGCTTCAAAGGATAAGAACAATCTTCAATGAGCCAAGTCATGTACTGTTTTAGGCACCCTATGGGTTGTTCACCAAATTGGGTTAATATGTGAATCTGCCCAGTTGGCTTGCTTTATTTATTTATTTAGTATGTTGTTCATCTGTAGGCTTTTTTTCTGCAATTTTTATATACAAGATGGGGAGATTAGATGTAGAACCTGGCATTGTGTTTCTGTACATTATTAGGAAAGTGCTATCATCCAGTGAACATAGGGTGAAATCTAATGTTGCCCAAGCAGAGGACACTTCATGCAACTGATATTCCCTCACCCTCAGTCCCACAAATGGCCTTCCCAGAGGGTTGTAATTGCACAACATGAGATTTCACCACCAGGCTAATTAAGCCCTTTTGAAATAATACTTGACACATCTTGTCTACTCAGGTATGCAAGACCACTTTTAAGGTCTGTAGTATTTACCAGTGCAGTACTATGCATACCTACTCAGAAATAAGTCCCATTGAGTTCAGTGAGGCTTTCTTCAAGGTAAGTGATTAGTGTAAGATAGAACCTAAAAAAGCTTTAAGAGTTAAAGGCTGTTAACATAGTTATCTTTTAATAATTTGTTCACAGGCATTTAAACACATTGTATATCACAAGAAATCCACAGAAAGGTAAATATTTTTGAGTTCATATTTATTATTATTATTATTATTATTATTATTATTATTATTAGAACATTTCTATCCGCCCCTTGCCGAAGCCTCGGAGCGGCTTACAACACAATACAATACAAAAATAGCAATATAAAATTAAAATTAATAATATAAAATAATTTATGCAGTGAATAAAGGAGTATCAGTATGTTGCATAGCTGAATACTGCCCTGTTATTCATGTAATCCCTTTCCTCATCCTTTGATAGCATTCCTGTAATTTCCTGATAGCATTAGTAATTCATGTACCATTTTCTGACCATGTTCAAAGTAAGAAGGTAAGCCAGCTTCCTGGCTCTAGACTTACAAATCCACCTTGATGGCTTGATTTGATACCTAAGTAAAGATTTACATTTTTATTCATTGCTGTTTAAATTGAATTTTTGAGTAAAATTTAAAAAATCACCGATGTCCATACTTAAAGGATGATAATTTTTTGTTCAGTGTACATGAAACAAAAATATATACTAAGCAGACTTAGAGATTAAATTGGGAAAATCAGTGTTGCAACTTACTAAACCCAAATGGTCCACTTACACATTTTGTCCAAGAATTTACCATATTAGCTGTGGCTGGAATCAAGATAGGTTTTTATTTCAGTACATGTGTTAACTAGCTTAACAATATCAGGATGTATGTTTTAGTACTACTTTGTGAATGGTCTCAGTGTTTTACATTTAAGCTTTAATATAATTAGCCCATTCTCTCTGTAGTTTCCTCTGGCCTCAATGCTTGCATTTCTCTTTCTGTACACCAATGTGTATATATACTTGCCATCTGAGGATAATCTTTCATGAATCTGAAGTGGACTGTAGCCCATGAAAAAATAATTGATAGTCTGCAAAGTGCCGCAAGATATGTCACTGATTTTTGCAACAGCCTACTAATATTTTGTCTGTAGTCACTTTTACAGACTGGCATAACTGATACTCAATTGCATTAATCACTTCCTGAAGAGAGGTGTATGGGAATTTTGCTTTTTCTATTACATGTATGCGTGTTAAAGTATGCATGCAGTTGTCCCCAATCTTGTGGTCAAAGTGGAAAGAACCATGAAGTGGAGAATGACTTTATTCTAAGCAAATAATGGATAAGTAATTATGCATGTAATGTTACAAAAAGTACAGTTGAAGTGTCTTTGAAATCAGATGTTGCTTACCTATATGTTACCTTCTAATTAACTAAAATCTATATCTGCTTACCCTCAGTGTGTAATGCCTAGAGGTAGTCTAATTATGTGTGTCAGTTATTCTGCTTTTAATAACAGTTGGCATAAATAATTAAGGAATCTTTACCAATGCACCCCAGTCATATTCTGAATAAGCGTGGTGTTAGATCTGTGTGTGTACCAAAGATCTTGGACTACCTTTTTCTCAGAACATCTGTTAACGTGTTTATAGTGAGTGGCAGAATCAGACAGTTTAGCTTTCTGTGAAGGACTAGGGTTTAGCTTTCTCCCCATCTATCACTGAATGAAAAAGTAAAATTTTACTCACTATGAGTTTTCATTCTAGGTAGTGGCTGTGTGGCATTTTTTTCTACTCTTTCTGCACAGTCTGTATCATGCATTAATATTTCTCCCCATGAATGCTCTTCTAGGTTATATTTATTTTTGCTATTGGGTGCTTAAGTTGGTTTATTTTATTTTTAATTTGCATAGTCATCTGGGAGCCCTTTTTCCCCCATGTAGTGCTTCAGATTGATTCTCCCATCTAGTCTGGGCCGCAGTGAGGTAAAAATGCTTTCCAAACACCTTAAGCAATAATGAAGTACAGCAAGTAAAATAATACTGTAGATTGTGCACAGGTAAACTGTGCACACAGAATTGTTATTGTCACTGTGATTTCAGGGTGTTCTTGTAAGAAGTGGTGCCTTGAAAATGGCAGTTCTCTTATTCTGGAATTCATATCTTTTCATTAAAAATTTATGTAAATTCCAATATTGCAACACATTAACTGTAGCTTGCCTGTTAACAGAGGATGTAGCAAATATTGATTCTGTTCAGTAAACAAACTTACGTTTGTGGTATTTTACCCAGACAGGAGGATCATTTTAATCATGGAGAGGTAAGGATTTCATCCTGTATGTATTCTGACAGTGCACCATTGGTTGGGATTTCTGCCAAATAAAGCAGAACATTAGCCTTTTTGGAGAAATAGAATCAGGTCTGATATAAAATTAACAATGGAGAGTACTGAGAGGGAAATAGTTGCACAAGTTTTTTTTTTTTTTTTTAAGCTGGTGGTACTTTTCTTTTTCGATGCACATATGACTACTTAAACTATATATTGATGGCACTGGCTTTATTTTATTAATTTATATTTTTGTTTGATTATATATAATCTGTTTTATTGTGTTTGTTCATGGCAAAAATATATTATTTAATGTTATTTATTGACATTTTTATTGTAATGGCTGCTCAGAGATTATGTTGCTAACAGGTAGCTTTTATATGAATTAAATAAATTGATATATATATATACACACACACACACACACACACACACACACTTTTAAAGATTCTTGGAGTTAATCAACCCCCCCCCCGCAAATACAGTAGAAGATACTGTTCCTTGTATCATTGGTTGCTCTTGATGACCAAAACCTGCTAATTTGATGTGTATATGCATGGCTCATTCCTTTTGCCTAAGTAGTTCCTGGGTGCTAAGTAGCCTTAATGTATTTTCAACTTCAATTCATAATATCACTAAAATGTTCCCATCATATTGATAGTTTTACAGAGTTTCCATAGTGTAGTAGCTACCATGTTTGCCTATCACATAAAACAATAGTTTTATATAAAGTTGAGAGCCGGTGTGGTGTGGTGATTGGAGTATTGGTCTGAGGACCCGGGAAATCCAAGTTCTAGTCCTCATGTAGCCACCATGAAGCCTACTGGATGACTTTAGGACAGTCACTCACTCTGATCCTGACCTTCCTCACAGGGATGTTTTTGTGAGGATAAGATAGAGCCACCTTGGGTCCCTTACAGAAAGAAAAATGTGGAATAGAAATGCAGTGTAATTTCAAAATCTTAATTTCTGTTTGCCAAAATACTTGACTTCAGGATTTTGCTACAAAATGCCTGGCTTGAGGAAGGACTATTGCCTCCCTCTTGTACAGTCATGTGCATCGTTTAAATACAGCAGTTCTCCATAGTCTACCTAATAAATTTAGGTTTTACATATTATTTTATCATCTTGTATATCAGTGTTCCCTAAGTTACTGAAGGAGCTTCATCAAGCTTAATTTTTTTAGTGGGCTTGCCAGTGAAGCTCACAAATCTAGATTGGCTTTTTTCACCAGCTTTATTTGAAAACTATTCAAATATGCTATGAAGTAATTTGTTTTCCCTTGCATTCAACAGAATATATTTAAACAAGTGAACTGTTAGACAATGCAAATCTGTATATTTCAGGGAGGTGAGGAAACTAACTTTTGGAGTAAAAAGAAATGTCATTTTGCTTTCTACATAGGTTTTCCAGTAATGTTTATTTTACATTTCAGTAAACTTCAAAGCACACCTGAGAGTGAGGGAAACATGTAAGAATACATAATGTACACACTGCATACATGGAAGCCCTTCACCATATTTAGCTATTCACAGCATAGGGGGAAGGCTGCATTCATCAAAATGAGCCAAACAAAGGGAATTAAAGGGAATTACTATATCCTTGGAAGTACCATTTCCCTGTTCAATTTAGTTTTAGAGCTATTTTTTCATGCAGATCCTAGTTGGATTAGAGTGCTGGTGTGGTATAACCCAAGGATAAAATTAAATTCATTTCAGTAATTTCATTTCTTTTAAACTGCAGAAAAATGCAGTAGTGATAGTGGAGCTTCAAAATCTATGGAATCTTCCATCTATACCATTTCATGGAATTACTTTTGCTTCTAAAATATTCTTTTACTATATTCCTTCTGTTCTTTTCCCCTCTCTGCTAAAAATAAAACCTGGGCTTACATTTTGATACTAGAATCATGGAATAAAGTGATTAAGTAAAAAACTAAATGTTTTACTGTTTGTAATTTGATACTTCTTTTAATAAGGAATTACTTTCTTACACTGTTTTGTTTTTTGTAGATAGTGTACCATGCACTGCAGCTTATCTTTTTTGCTGTTCTTGCTATTTTAATTATGAGACTAAAGCTGTTTTTGACACCTCATATGTGCATCATGGCATCCTTGATATGTTCAAAACAAGTAAGTATGGTTTACTTGACATACTTCTAATGATATGGTGATAAAGTATCTCGGGGGACAAATCTGTGGCCTCCAAACTTTGTATGATGGACCATAGGACAGGTAGCAGTCCTAGCTATGACCTCAGAAATGTCTTCTAAGGCTGGAGCTATGGCACCAATCTTGGAAAACACCCCTGTCTGCCCTTGCAGTGTAGTTCTTTTCACATTGGCGATGTGCTGAAGACAAAAGACTGTCTCTGAAGAGGGTAGAAGAGGCATTCCAGGGGGAAGAAAGAAGTAAGGCAGCAATGACTTCCAAGAAATTATCTCAGCTGGTCTTCCTCACAAAGAAGGGGCAAACATTCAAATAGCCAAATTCGGCCATTGATTTTTTTGAAGATCAAAGGGAATTCAGAGGCAATTGTAGCCTGCGTACCTTAGAGGGCACTTTGGGAGGGATTTTATGGCCCCCATACAAACAGCAATAAAACAGGCAGGATGATGGAATACATGTGGCATAAGTCTCAGTGACTAAGACCTGATAGAAGAACACATCATTGTGCATACTTTGTTGTGGGGGGGGGGGCAGCAAAATATTCTTCCTTTTCTACTATCATCACATCCTCAGGTAGCTATCCACCAGAGTTTTTTGTTAGTTTTTTTAAACTCGGGGCACTCCTATATCTAGACCATCTTGGGAAGGATGTCTTGGATTTCTCAGATGTGACAAATTTGCAAGGTACTTTGAGCAAATATTTCCTCTGACCATGACATCATTAATAAAGTTGCAGAGGAGGCATTTGCAGTGCTGCCTGCTCTAGTTATGTGGAATCACTTTTGGACAATGCAGCCTAACAATGTGGGCAAGATACTTGAAGAAGTTAGTTTCCTGTATATTTGAGCTTTGACCACCTTGGTTAATTGTAACTAGCTAAAAGAAAGTGCCTGGGTGGGCCTCCATGAGGTTATTAATACCTCCTTGAGAGAATAAATGGTTCTGGCCACCTTGAAAGAAATGATCATGAGACCATTCCTTCAGAAACTTTCTCTGGATCTGGAAAATTGTATAATTGTATAATATAACATTGATAATATATGGAGGCCAAGAGGTATCATGCTCATACCAGTCTGCCCATTCATTAATCAGATGAGGTTCTTTTCTGATTTATTTTGCACACTGTCCTGAAAATCACTTTTCTGGGTGAAGGGCAGTTGAGGCATTTTTAAAATAAATAAAATAATGAACATTCATACTGATAATAAAGTATATAATGACTACTGATAATTTTAATGGAAAAATTAACTGGCTTCAAAAACCTTTTCTAGTCAAACTTTGGAAAATGAAAACCATTAGAAACTTGAATAGTATATAAAGTAAATGCCTTTTAATTTCCTTTTATAGCTATTTGGATGGGTCTTTCACAAAATCCAGCCTGGAACACTTGTCCTTGCAATTTTAGCAATGATGGCATTTGAAGGCATAGCAAACATTCAAAAGGAACGCAGCATTGTGGGAGAATTTAGCAACCTGCCTCAGGAAGAACTATTACTGTGGATAAAAGCAAACACCAGGCAAGGTAAAAAACTAAACCAAGCCTCATTTTGCAAATTTACTAGAATATCTACTACACGACAGGCAACACAATGCAGTTTCCAGAGAGGGTCATGCTTTTGAAACAGTTTTCCTTGATGTCATTTTATTGTAACTATCACAGAAAAACTACAGTTTTTAAAAAGGCCTAGCTTTGTGAGTGTTTGTTACTGTTGTTGTTAGTCACGAAGTTGTGCTTTGTGAATATGGTCATCAGTAATTGTAAACTTTTAGTATTCAGAAACTGGTATTCAGTAGAGAAAATTTGTGGGGAGGGTTTGGAGGGGGGATGGCAATTTTAAAAATTTAGGTATAATTTTTATAGGAAGCATTTATTTTATGTAACCTTAATGCAGTTTTAAAGGTAAAAGGTAAAGGTATCCCCATGACATTAAAGTCCAGTCATGTCTGACTCTTGGGGGTGGTGCTCATCTCTGTTTCTTAGCCGAGGGAGCTAGTGTTTATCCACAGACAGTTTCCATGGTCATGTGGCCAGCATGACTAAACACCAAAGTGCACAGAACACTGTTACCTTCCCACCAAAGTGGTACCTTTTTATCTACATGCATTTGTATGCTTTCCAACTGCAAGGTTGGCAGGAGCTGGGAGAGGGTACAAGAGCTCATCCCATCTGTGGATTTGAACTGTTGACCTTTCAATCAACCAGCCCAGTGGCTCAGCAGTTTAACCCACTGTGCCACTGCATCCCAGTTCAGTTTTAGATTTCCACAAAAAGTGAAATGAAGGGCCAGTTTACAAATAATGTTTAAGTAGCCTATTTTGGTCCTTAGAGTTAATGCCTGCTAAACTGCTATGCATTTTTAAAATATTTCCCAATTATTTCCAAGTGTTTATAAATTCTTCGCTGTATGTTTTAGATGCTGTTTTTGCAGGTGCAATGCCTACAATGGCAAGTGTAAAACTGTCTGCTCTTCGACCTATTGTGAATCATCCCCATTATGAAGATGCAGGGCTTCGGTAAGATGTTAAGTTCATATTTTAGGGTTAATCACAATTATTTGTTGTGATTTACTTATTCAGTTTAGGAATTTTTATCACTGTTAATGATAATATTAGAGGGAATGATTAGCATAGAGGTATGTACAATCAAACTCCAAAGGTTTCTGCAAGGAATCTGTACTTTTTTTCCTCACTAGATAATGCATGTGCATTTTTGTGTACAGGTATGCCTGGCTTTTTGCAGATTCAGTCTAAAATGTTGTGTTTTATTCGTTACTACTGTAGTTTTATCTTTTTATTGTTCTGGAAACTACTATGAATTGACTTGCTAAAAGGGGGTACCGTATTTTTCTGACTATAAGACGCCCTCATGTATAGGATGCCCTCCACTTTTTGTACTGATGTCCAAGTGAGCAAGCTGCTGCAGCACACACCCGAGCCAATCTCCTCCCCAGTCGTGCCCGCCTCCCCCACCCAGCACGCCCACGGTTCTCCTCTCGGCCCCCCCGTGTATAAGACACCCCTCCATTTTAGGTAAATATTTTTAAGAAAAAGTATAATCTTATACACAGGAAAATAGGGTATATACTTCTAAGAGAATCAAATAGTCTAACTGGAATCTTTAGGGCTCTTAGCTAGGAATCTCACTAGACCTTTGCAGAGGTATCAGACTTTTGCTGTGTGCTGGTGATGTCATTTACATTTATTAAAGCTATGGATAGTAAAAAGTATCCTCTTTCTAAAATGAACACTTTAAAATGGTATCTGGTAGCTGGAAAATGATCTGTAAAGATGACTTGCAAACAAAGGAAAACAGAGCTAAATCTCTTACTTTTGATGAGTTTAGAAGAGGATTTAAAGTAGGAGTTTTGCATCAGATGAGCACTTCTAAGTAAAGGTGTTAGTTTAATATAGCATTGAGCTGTGAAGATATATTTGTTTTAATTCAAATAGATTAATACAGTATTTTATTTTAGATAAGTGCTTTCTGTTGAGAGATGGCTGAATTGGTTACTGATTTATGTTTCCTTCAGGCATGTAAGGTCACTAATCCTGTGACTTCTCTTGGCTTAAATAATGTGGTGGTTCCTCAGCAACAAGCAGGAGAGCAGTAAGCAGCAGTGGGTAAACTCCTCCTTCAGCAAAAAGCAAGGGCTGCAAAAAGAGAAGGAGAAGGACTTCCCTTCCAAGCAGAAGAGCTTCTCCAGTTCTTTTGCTGGCTTTCCTTCAACCTGAGAGCAGCATCTCTACTGCTACAGAGTTCCTACTTTGGACTAGAACTTTTTTGGGTTTTTTTAATTGCTCCTTATCTTCAGCCTTTCTTCCCTCATCTTCATGCTTTTTTCCTGTAATACCAGCCCAATCTGTAGGAAATGGGATATTCAGAGGTTTTCCCTAAAAGTATAGGTTGTATAACAACCTGTATAAGCACATTGCTTTCTTAGCTTTCAGTAACACTGCTTTTTCATCTTTGTTTGGTGTCTTTGGTGTCTCCACAAAAGTGATTGTGGCTGTAGTAGCACAGTTCAGGATGAGGTGGAACTTACATTGGCCAATGCAGAGTCAACCTACTGATCAGATCACAGTAGGTTATCACAGTCATGCAGACATCATGACTATGCTTAATTATCTTGATTGCCATGGTTTCACAGTCAGCCATCCAAGAGGTTTCTCCAACCAATTCAAAGGTTTCCACATTTGGGATTTATACTGCACCCAATCACAAAACATACATCCCTGTTTCAGGAGACAAACAGCAAGACCCTCTTCAGTGTATGTAAAATCTTGTCCTAAAAGACAGCATCCCTCAAGCACTTTGCTCCTTGTGTGAAATATAACTTCCAGCTTCATTGATTTTGCTGTATCACCATCAGATCAGCACCAAGCAGACAGTTTAATGAGGCTCTATGGAAGGGATGGATTTTCTCCATTAGTTATGTAATCTAAGCCACTTGGCCAGAGAAACACTACCAAAAAAAATATGCATTTACAGAAGCACTGATGTCAGCTTGTCCAAGTGGAGGACTGACTTCCAAGAGAATGTGGCCTTGGGTTACCTGTGGAAGCTGCTGAACTAGTGAACTAGAACTGAAGGTAGAACATACTTTGCACATATTCTGGGAAAGGATCTGTTGTAAACATGTTAAAATGTGAACAGAGTTTGACCATTGAAGAGCTCATCAGTCATCTCAGCTTTGCCCTGGAAGCACAAATGACAAAATTGAGGCTGTTGTACTTTGGGCACATCATGAGGAGGCAAGACCCACTGGAGAAGACAAAAATGCTAGGGAAAGTTGAAGGCAGAAGAAAAGCAAAACCAAATCTGAGATGGATCAGTTCCATAAAAGAAGTGACAGGCTTGGCTTCACAAGAGCTGAACAGGGCTGTCAAGGATACGGCATTTTTAAGGTCATTTATTCATAGGGACTCTTAAGTCAGGAATGTCTTGATGGCACATAAATCCTTTTCAGCAGAGCATACTTGGGTCTCACAGAATCTCAGGCAGGTCGATTAAGCAGCAGGAGTCTTGAACAGGTGAAATGAGTCCAGCATTCAGTGGTTTTTCCAGCTAAACACATGATACTGAGAAACAGTGAATCAGTCACTTTGCAAACAACAAGAAGGACAAAGTGTTCCACTGCTTCCCATCTTTCTTCTATCTCTATCCTTTATGCTTCTTCTACTTTCCCCTCATATGTGAAAATTATGTAAATGAGAGGATATTACAGGTGTAGAAGAGGATATTGGCTGTGATCTGGACCAAGAGGTCATGGTTCTCAGACCTTTCAGACCTCAAGATTCTTGACCAATGACCTTTGTAAATGAGGTTGGAGATAGTCCACCCTATTCAGGTTTCCTACCAACAAGATGGAAGGCTTTTCAGAGGTGGTGCAAGTGTTGGTTGCTATCCTGGATTTCTGTCCTCCTCCTGTCTAGATTAGATCAGGATCTTGTTACTAATATTCTGAAAAGGGAGGTACATGATTCAGACAGCATATTAGTTTAATGTCTCCACTTGAGGAGCCCTTGCTTGAAGAAGAGCATTTCTTTTTCATGGTCTCTGTGCAATACACATATGGGTGCTGCACCAGCACAGTGCCTGCATTCAGGAAGATTCTCCTAGCTAAACCTAGAATTTTTGGTGGGAGCCTCATCTTTTCCCCCTAGTATAAATAGGTGGGGCTCTTTTCATCTGGTTGCTGAGGCAAAAACAGAATCCCAGGAGTGAAACAAACTGAAAATGGATGAGTAGGCTGGAGGCTCAAGAGTGAATGACAGGAATCCCCTGGGGAGACAGAATTGGAGTCAGAGATGGGAAGACCACCCAGCCCCCAAGAATTCTGCCTCCTGAAAAGGAGCAGGCTGGGAGAGTGGACATATCTAGTCACCTGCATAAAAACACCAGTATGCCAGCAAACTCATTGAAAAGAACATGTGACCCAGTTTTCTGTAGCTTGAGCCTTGCTCACAACCTTGCAGGTAGGATCAGCTTCTGGTCCTCAGTGCACTTTAGTAGTACCCTATTTATATCCTACTGAACTAATCCAGTTGGGGAGTTTATCTGGAAGATTTTTTTATGACATTCCCTCTTTCTATATTATGAGGAAATTATTCTCTGTTGGAGAATAATTGTGTGCCTTCCATGACAGCACAATAGTTCACTGACTAGATCAGTGATTAATTCCCATATGTTGTCATGATGTAATCCTGCACAATCTCTGCCCCAATTCAGTCTGTTTTAAGAGGACACAATGGCATAATTTGGACATACTCCATGCTTTCTGCAATTATGATTATCATTACTATACAAATTATTCACTTTTTCCTGGAATTTTTCAGAGGGTACAATTCATTAAAGCATAAAACAGTAATCACAGTTAATTTGAAACAATCCCAACATTATCTCAGTAAAACAAATCTCTAGCATAAAAATGATATAACTTTACATTGGGACTGATGAGAATTAGGAAGTTAAGGATTGCTCCTGTCCTGAAATCCTGGTGATTTTCCAGTCTCGATCAGAGACAGATACATGACAGATCTACAGTCAACCTGTGGGACACAAACCCAGTGCATGTGGTCCGAGTCAACAAATCCACTATTACCATTTGCGTAACAGGGTACAAATTCAAGAGACAATCTCACTAGACAGGGATCACAGTCTATTTAGTGCAAAATGCAACAACTTCTGCACCTTGCAGCATCAGTGCCAGCCTGAATGGCAAATTGTCACTTTTGGTGTAGCCATCTTCAGTGCTAGTTTCTGTATACGTCACGACAAAGCATGCAAAAATGCATCACAATCAATAAAAAAGAACTTTGTGTGGACAAAAGAGCACAGAAAAACAATCAGCAGTTTATATATGTTGTCAAAGCGATATGTTTTCCATGCCTGTTCCATTCCCCTGTGGTGTAAGCATTAGTAACAGATCCCCTTGAAGTCCCTTCTGTTGGTTATGCTTTCTTCTCATTCATCTTTGACCAGATGAAAGCTTTCCACCCATACCCATCCCAGAGTTGTAGGAGCTCTGTTACCATTTTTATTATTCCAGTCAAGTCCTGAAGCTTCCTGGAAACCAACAAGAACTTTTTTTCTTTTGGAGGGCTCTGCTTTCTTCCACAGGAGGAGTTAGCCTTCAACTGCTTACTGTCCCCTTGCCCATGGAAAACTCAATTTCCCATTCTAACTACAAAAAGCAGTTAACTACCATTTGATCTTGTCTTGTGACCGAGCAATTCTTCGTATTCATGGCTGATTAAATATTTGATATTGTATTCATACATATATTTTTGCCTCTTTTCCTTTTTTCTAAATTTTCTAAATTGGGTCATCCTCACTTCTAAATACATTTTGTGCTTCACACTGTTGACTATAACAATGTATGCCGGAATAAATCAGCTGTCTCCAGGATTCCAGAGCCCTTCTCACTTTTCTTCAGTAATGAGCTCCATATTCTTAGTTCAAGTTATTTCTCTTGGTTGGTTGGTTGGTTGGTTGGTTGGTTGATATATTTGTGGTTTTCTGTTCCTCAAAGGGCAAGAACAAAAATAGTCTATTCCATGTATAGCCGAAAACCAGCAAAAGAAGTTAAAAGGGCATTGCTAAAGATGGGAGTAAATTACTACATTTTAGAAGATTCTTGGTGCCTAAGGAGAACTAAGTAAGTAGTCTTGGTCATTACTACAAAATGATAGAGAGATTGGAATGCTGCTTCTAGAAGGACAGAACAGGATATAAAATAAGGCAGATCATGGTATTTGGGACTTTTCCATGAATTCATTTACCTTTTGTAAATAATAAGTCATTGGGAAACTTGGTATAGCCTTTGAAACGGTACTAAGCATATTTCACTTTTCCATTTTCAGCAAATGTCATTCAGATAGTTGGTGTTAATGGCTAAAACTGATCTTTAGAAAGTGATTAAAATTGGAAGATAGCTTTTGTAGCCTTGTGTGAGGTACAGGATGAGATTGTTTTTTATTTGCCCTTTATGTTTGGAATATTAATAACATAAAATTGATTGCATGAATTTTCTGAAGCCCTTACTGTTCCTTGTGGATGTGGAGATGGTATTTATTCTTAATTAATACGGTGATTATCCTTGGAAGTTGTGATAAGCTTTGGTAAAGATTGTTCATTTAATTTAAATGAGGTCTTATATGAAGGAATGGCCTGTGTAATTGTTAGAGTTGCTAGTCTTGTTATATCATCATCATTATTGTGCTGTTATTGGAGCCAGGCTATCACTATAAAATTGTATGTCTGGAATACAACATTCAGTGTATTTTACCATGGACTATACCATTTCAGTTTGGATGTGAAATTTAATGACCTGGAGGAAGTTGTCCATCACTTCTACCTCCTGCAATACTTCACTGGTTAGTCAGGACACTCCTGGACAATATGGGCTAGAATATAAAAGGAGGTTGTTGTGGAGATGGGAAGAATCCCACCTAGTCATGCTTGCATCCTAAAGGTAGGCTAGCTAGTTCATATAAGGACATTTTCCTGATCACCCTCACCATAGCCCCTGCTGCACTGCATCCTGCATTCTTCAGAAGGGCTCCTCCTTACCACAGAGGGTTTTTTAGGAAACTTCAGGATAGACAAGGTGATGGAAAAACTTCCCTGCTATAAACTTCCTTCAGTTAACTTACCTTAGGATCCAAATGATAATGAAGAAAACGTTGTTTAATGTGTAAAATAATAGCTTGCCTTCTTCAGGCATTCATAGCTCATACGGTGAGGGGAGAATGTAGCCACACTCGCTGGGCCCACCCCTTCTGTTGCATCACTAGTTCCTTCAGCACATGAAGGGAGTAGGTCTGAGATATGTTGGTTGATCATTGGACCTTTTCAGCTATGTGTGGCTAATGGGAGTTGCAGTGGAAGGGCAGGGGCCAGTGAGTGTGTCCCTTTCTCTCTTTCCACAATGGTAGTCAAGTAAGGTTTTTATTACCTAGATAAAAATTGTGTGTGATCAGTTTTGCTCCTGTTTCTTTCACCCAAATATATGCTGATAGTATTTCTGTATATTTTTAGGCCTGGCTGTAGCATGCCAGAAATTTGGGATATAGAAGATCTTGCCAACATTGGAAAAGTTCCCTTATGCAACCTCATGAGCAAGGATTCCCGGCCATACTTCAGAACAGTTTTCAAGAACGATATATTCAAAATATTAGAAGTTACCAGGGAATGAATCTTCTGTGCTGCATACTTTTTGAAAATATATATTAAAGTAGTCAACTATTTAAAATATCTCTCTGAATTCTATTTAAAGTTAACAAGAGTTTTTAGATAAATTTCAGCAGATAGCTTCATTAGACTTAGGCTGTTCTCCAGAGAACTCTGTGCTCAGGAGGTCCCCTTGTCAGTTACAGGAACTGTACCATGTGACATAGGCTCTGTCTCCTTCCATATAATATGGTATAGTCCCACATACTCATTCAGGGCTACTTCACTGGATCAAGGACTTAGATTGTGAGTTCAGCTGTATTTATTTGCAAATACATTGAAATAAATGAGAATGACTTCAGAATAAATGTGGAGAACTGAAATAATAGTATGTTAAGAGACCAACATGCTGACTGGAGTACTGGACTTGTAAAATGAGGAAATTTAAAATATTCTGTCTCAAACTTGATTATTTCTATTTCTGGATCAGTTTTTTAAAATTTGCTATGCAAATGTGTATGCATTTAAACACTTCTTAATAATACTGAATAATACTGATCCAAAACAAGTGAACAAAACTAGCTGTAAAAAAAGAGTACCAGATTTCAATTCAGTGAAGTTGTAGAGACCAATGATCATTTCCGGCGATGTCAGTGCATCTTTAAACCCTGAATAGCTAATAATTAACAAATGGTAGTATGGTATTTAAGATTCCATACACTAGTCATCACAATATATTGCTAACTGACTTCTCCAGCATGCTTCCCATAATGCACATTTTATGAATCTGTATAGTTTTGTAAAGAGATAGGATAGAGGAAACTATCCAATTTATGTGCAAGTAGTTGTTTGTTTTATCAAAACAATTTGATAGTTTAATGACATCTTAGATCTAGGTCATATATTCAAACTTTTGTTCTACATGGAAATTATTTTAGATAACTTTAGATAAAGAATGTGCAGAATACACATTCTTTAATTTTACTTTGTAAATATTTGCTAAAATGAATCCTATTTGCAGTAAGCAGTATTTTTGGTACTAACTGTTGAAATGTTTTGAAATCACCTTGGTAGACAAAACTGACCAATTTTGCACACATGATGCTTTAGCAAGGAAAATATTTTCTGGAAGGTCTTTTTATTGTTTGGCCTTAATGCAGAAATAGAAGGTATTTTTGCCCTTCTTGTAGAAAGAGAGTCTAAATTATGAGCATTTGTTCCCTGAGAGCTAAAATGTAACCACCAGAGCAGTAATGAATTCAAAAAGGCTTGTTTCATTTTCTTCTCTATCTTGGAGCAAAATTAATTCATGTAACAGGCAAATCTGTAGATTGGTAAATATTAATTAACTATTATCCGTATTTGCTTTTCCACATTTCTAAAACAACAAAATCCCTAATTTCTGTCTTCTGTTGATAATGCATAGGTCATTGTTATTTAGTATCTTGTTTGGTAGAACAAAGTGTTGTGGTCTGCAGAAATGGCAATATATATGATCTGTTTGCAAAAGATAAATTTTTGCAAGCCATGTAGACAGAAACCATACTTTTTCCAGCCACCTGCTGATTTTTAATTTCTATTTTACACTTAAAGCTTTGTTTGCAACTAGCAGTAGCAAATTATCCATGGAGAAACATAGTTTATTGTTGTGAGCCATGTTGCCTCCCTCTGACAAACAGAAGCCTGAAGCTGCTGCTTTTGCATAATACTCTTCATTGTTTCTACGTACAAATCATTCAGCCAAGTCTCTGAGCATGCACAAAGCAGCTTGATCGCAGTTTGGCGATTATCACCCAAAGCTCCCCTCATGAACCCTTTTGTGTTCCACCCCAGGAGCGAGGCGCACTGTGAAAATGGGCATTACTGCTCTTGTGCCTCTAATTGGACTTCCCTCTGGTGATGGCATTGAGACAATAGGTCTACCTCCTCAAGTGACAGGTTCTCCATTGGAGGAACTCCCCATGTCAACATGCCCTTCTTCAGGCTGAACTCTCCAACATTTCTGGGGCTAATCTTTCCCACTGTTGCATCCTGTTGGGTCCGAGGACCTTGAACAATTCTCTGCTGCAACTGAATCAGCAAAATCAGTGTGGCTTACTTCCCAGGGGAACACTTGCCAGAGCCTGCCATTACGCTTATTCACAACATCGCTGCCCTTTCCATGGGGACCCCTCCTGGGTGACCAAAGCCACAGCCTGCTGGATTTATGGGGAAACCTGGAATGGAACTGCTCAGTCAAAGCAGGTGTGCAAAGATTGTCTGTGTACTCCCAAGTCCACTCCTCAGATCCAAACCCCTTCCAGACAATCGCATACTGCCACTGTCCACAATGAAAGCACAAGTTCAAAATGTCCTGAATCTCAAAGTCCTCCTCCCCTGCCTGCCCCACAAGGAGATGAGGAGGTAGAGGTGCTTTTTGAGAACTCAGAGGGTAATCAGTCATGGTGGGGGACAAAAGGGAATGGTGAAATACAGGGTGGATTTTCAGGGGTGGGGGCATCAACAGTTTAAAAGTTTAAATGATTAATTTGTGCTACAGTCTGAAAGGGCCAGCACAGCAAGCTGCCAGTTTCTTAATGGAAGCAAATAGGAATATACATTCAGTAGAAAATTATATGCAATCTTCCACAAGCATGTCCATTCCTTCCTTGCAGTGAGCATCTACTACTCTCTTGTAGCCAGGTTTAGTCCAGTCTAATGGCTCCTTAAGGGGGACATGTCCAGTGTGTAGTTTCTGCAAGAAGTCTGCTGCCACCAACCTCTGAGGCAACAGTAGGTTCAACTGGGGGTCATTTGGCACACTGGCAAGCTGTGCAGAAGTGGACAAAGGTCTCAACATTCTGGTGCATGTATCTCCACCAGAAACTGTGAAACTATGTGCACAGTTTTGTAAATCCCAAAGTTTTCAGGCAAAAGGAGCGGTATGACAATAGGGTAGCACCCATTTCCTTTGGAAAGAAGAAACAAAGGCAGTGCCATCTATATAATAAACCATCCCTTGAAGGGAAGTCTGGGGCCTAGCTCTGCACTATCCAGTTCTTTACAAATACAAAAACATCCTCCTGTTGAACCTGGTGGATGCTATCCAGCCAGGGACAGGCAGGGGTGCCACTAGCCAGAGCCTCAGTATCAAGGGGAATAGTAGGATTCTGCGGGACGGAACTGGCTACTATGAGCTTGGGAATAAAACTACAATGCTGGAAACATTGGGTAGAAGGAAAAGTTATGGTACCATCAGTCCAGGAAATTTGAGGCTTGTGTTTCACCCGCTGGTCCATGTCCAACACAGTAGCATGTGATAAATGATGAGTGTGAGCTATTCTGCATGATTCCCAGTGTGTAGAGTCTGGGAGCCCACTGTTGCAGCAAAGCAATGCAGTCTTGCAAGATTGAAATTCAAGAAGGAGGCTGTAGCTGCACTGTTAAGAAGTGCAGGGGCATGCAGCTCAAGCCCCTCTGGTGTCTGGAGAGTGACTTTCAAAACCAAAGGAGTAGAAGGTGGTAATTTCTGAGTGGGAGAGGGTACACCTGTGTTGTGTCTGCAACAGTCCCAAGTTCACAGTACTTGAAACATGGCGATTTCCATTTTTGGGAGGCGAAGTTGCATTGCTCCTGGCTTCATAGGTTCAGGTTCTAGGGTTTTGAGGAGAAGGAGAAGCAATGGGGCATGAAAAGAGCTGGTACTGGAGGGAAAGCTGGACTAGACAGGAGTGGAGCTGTCAGTGGCAGGAAGCAATGACTTTTGAGTATGTGCACCAGCCAGCACTTTTCAAGCTGGCTGTCAATTTGGAGGCAAAGTTGAATAAGGTGGTTAAGATCCTCGGCCCAATTAGTTCATGCAAATATATCTAACATTTCATCCTGCCCTGTATTGTGCCATGTAAGCTGCATTGCTCCAATATAAACTATATTTGCAACTGGAGCCAGGTGGAATACTCAGTGACTGTTTTCCATGACAAAGACATCAAATTTCCTGGGTGGTAACCTCTTGTCACAGTGCATCCCCAAAAAATCCTCCCATGGCCATGATGATTCCCTGTAGTTATCTAAGAGGAGATTGTGGGCAATAACCCATTTTTCCATCAGGAGACTTATTGCAAATCCCACTCTAATTTGATCTGTGGAGAAATCCTCTGGTCATATTTGCATATACAGTTCACGTTGAGCCCAGAATGTGGGGAACTGGTCTGATTCCTGTCAAATTTGGCCAGAGAATCTAAGGAACACCTTCTTCATGGCAGAGTGGGGGGGGGGGGGGAGAGTGCCAAAATGGGCAAGCGTGGCTGCCTGAAGAGCCGCATTGGCTACCTGTAGTTGTGCCAATTGATCCCACAGAGCTTGGAACTCTGCTGCCTCCACTGCTTCTTCCATGATTCTCTTTGAGAGTTGTGGAGGGGAGAGAGAATTGGCTGGCAAAGGAGGAAGGAACAAGTTGAGACTAGGGACAAAGTGTTGAGAGCTGCGTTGCCTTCTTCTGACAAACACAAGCCTCGAACTGCTACTTTTGCATAGCACTCTTTATTGTTTCTACATCTAAATTATCTAACCAAGTCTCTGAGCATGCGCAAAGCAGCTTGTTGACCCCAGTCTGGTGATTATTACCCAAAACTCCCCTTACAAACCTGTCTGTGTCCTGCCCTAGGAGGAGGCATGCTGTGAAACTGGGCATACCTCTCATTGTACCTCTAACTGAGCGTAGAGCAGGGCCATATCAAGTGGCAGGGGTTCTCCACTGGAGGAGCTCTCCATGCTAACATCTTTTCCCTCAGGCTGGGGCTCTCCAACATTCCCCGGGTCAGGTTGATCTGTTTCCCCACCTGCCCTTGAGCTAATCTCTCCCACTGCTATGTCCTGCTGGGTCCCAGGACCTTGAACTGCTGTTCAATCGCATTGAAATGAACAGTTTCTTCTGACTCTGAATCAGCAAAATTTGTGCAGCTCACGTCCCTTGGGTACACTTGCCAGAGCCTGCCATTGTGCTTGCTCACAAACAGCTGGTTTAAATAGAGGTGGGCAGATTAGTCAAGAAGTGGGCAAACTGCAAAATTTCTGATGTAATTCAGTTGCAATTCCCATAATTTCTGACCATGCTAGTGGTTATGATTGGTGTTGGATGAGAGTCCAACAACTGGAGGCCACACTGCTAGGTTTATTTTACTTTGGTGTTCTTCCACCTTGTTAAGAAAGTAAGGAGTGACCAAAAAATCAATTTAAAATTAGAAATCATACTGTGTTCCCAATTTGTGAGACTGGATGACTGATGAGTATTGGGTAGTAGAAAATAATCATTTTCAACTACTGCAGAAACAGGGAATTGGTGTCTTATTTTATAATTATATTGTAGCACAATATAGTGTATTTTTATGGATTTTATGCTAATTGTTGATGTTTGTGGTTAAATAAAAGCTTTGTTCATATTTGTGTCTCTGTAATCATTTGTTGGCACCATGATGATCCAGGATGGCTTGTCAGATCATCCAGACCCAGATAACAAAATCCAACTTGGGTTAAGCCACACAAAAGCATAGCAGCAAGATCCCTTTGCTGCTCTTACCAAGTGGATTGCCAGCAAGCACAGCTGACAGAGTATCCCAAAGTCCTCAATGAGCACTTGAGGGTAGCTGTCAAAGGCTTCACTCTGACCAACTGTTTCAGATTATGGGAGAAGAGTAGAGCTTCCAATGTTCTGAAAAATACTGCTCAGCAGCTGCCTCAAACTGCCCCTTTTAGACCTGCCACCATGGCATGAAGTGGCTATTGCCACTCACAGCTGGGCAGCAGATCCAGCTCTCCCACCCCAGTGCTGTCAGGTACAGAAAGTGCTCACCTTGGTAGTGCAGGGCAGAGATCAGGTTGGTTGATTCAAAAGTCAGCCAGCAGAGTCCTGGATCCTTTGGGCTGCAGCAAAAGATCTTGTGGCATGGAGATCTGATCAATAAAATGAATCAGTAGACCCAATCCTGGATCCATTGCCCCACCCTGCTGTCACAAACTAAAAGAGCTTCCATCAGCCACTCTGTATAGGTATTGCTCCCCTGTTGTGCTTCAGGGAAACCCTTTAGGGACAACTACACCAAGAGGGCTCTTTCCCTGAAGTGCAATGGGGTTCACTCCCAGCTTTTGTTCAAGATGAAGTACGGAGGGGTTAATTAGGGGCTGCCCCATGCCTACACGTTTCCCTATTTAAGGTTGGAAGTTGACTGCATTGTGCCTTAGGGGATGAGCCCTGTTTGTGCAAAAGGGACATCTTGGGGAAAGGGGGTTGGCACCCTTGAGGGGATTGCAAAAGCTGTCATTGCTCCGGTTGTGTCCCCTGGAATGTCACCAGGGGGACTGAGAATGAAAATCGAATTTGAGGGCTCATTGTGGGTCCCTCTCAGATTCAGCCAACCAAACCTGGTAAGTTACCAAAGTGAGTTGTGTTATGAGCAATTTTGTGCTTTGCCAGCAAATAGAATCAATTTGCAACATTAATAGAATATCAAGCCACTTATGTCTTGGAGATAAACATATTGGTATTATGACACCATGGTACCTAGATCTTCAGTTTCTTCTCACAGGGCTTTGTTTCTAGTCCCCTGATCATCTTTGTTGCCCTTCTCTTAACCTTTTCCAGTTTGTCTGCATATTTCTTAAACTGTGGTGCTCAGAATTGGACACAGTACTCCAGATGAGGCCTAAACACTGCTGAGAAGAGGGGAAACTAGTACTTCACATTTTATAGAATTTCAAAATACCATTTGCCTTTTTTTTACACCTGCATCTCATTATTGATTCAGCTTGTATTCTACAGCAGTCCCAAGATCTATCTTGTTTATAAGATCGTTGAGCTAAGTATCCCACATCTTGTAACCATGCATTTAGCTTCTTTTTTCCCCTAGATGCAGAACTTGGCATTTACCCCTATTAAGTTTTCTGTTGGTTTTAGGCCTGCATGTCAAACTATCAAGATAAAAATGCTGAGGACTGAACCTTGTGGTACCCTACTTATTACCTCCCTCCAGTTTGAGAAGATACCATTTATAAGCAGTCTTTGTGTATGAATCTGTAGCCAGCTGTGGATTCACCTGTTAGTTGTTTGATCTATCCTCTTATAGCTAGTTTGCTAATTAGGATATCATGGGGCCCTTTGTCAAAACCTTTGCTGAAGTCAAGATATGTCCACAGCATTTCCACAATCCTCCAAGAAGGTTACCTGATCAAAACAGATCGGATTAGTCTGGCATGATTTGTTCTTGATAAATCCATGCTGTTTTTTTTTAGAAATCACTGAATTGTTTTCAAGGTGTTTGCAAATTTACTACTTTATCATTTGCTCCAGAATGGGATTACTGACAGACTGGCTGCATTTACACAACATGACGAGCATCCCTGTGTGAATACCACTGGTTGGTTGGTTGGTTGGTTGGTTGGTTGTTTTTACCATGATATACATGACAGATTATCAAGTGGTTTATTTATTTATTTTTCAATTTCTATCCTGCCGTTTTCCTACAAAGGGCTCAAGGCAGCTTACATCATTCTCCTTCTCCATCTTATCCCCACACAACAACCCTGTGAGGTAGGCCTTGGTATCATTGCCTTTGCTTGCCTTTGCATGAGATGCCCTGTAGTTCTTCCTCTTCAGGCTGCCCTCCAGTCTTATCCTCAAATAACTAAAAGCAGTTTTGTAGTCCTACAGCTTTCAATGGTGCAGAGAATCTTCTAGTTCTTTGACTGCTGTCACTCTTCTCCAGGCAGTTTCCTTCACTTTATTTTACCTTGCCTCAGAATTCTCTTTTGTCTCAGCTTGCCTCTGTTCTTCCAGCATCTGTACTTCACCTTGCTGTTGTAGTTCCATTGCTCTTAGCCTCTTTGTCTTCTTTTATTCCCTCGAGGGTGGACACTCATGGCATAAATACTCTCATATTTTCTTCCAACAGGGCAACCAGCTTGTAGTGGCTGCATGTATAGACCATGTCAATCTCAGGCAAGTAAACCAACATTGCATGACTTTGCAGATCACCACCATGACAGAGTCTTTTCAATCTATAGTCTCTACTCCCTTTTTGATCCTACCTTATTGCTATTATTGGAATGGCCTGCACTTTGTCTGGACTTCTAGTGTGTACTAGAAGTACTACTAGTGTGCAAGTTTGCACTACAAGAAAAAACCTGGACCTCTCTTGCCAAACTCTGCTGCCCAGCTGCTGTTAGTTCTCCCTGGGAGCTCACTTGCTTCCATAGTCTCTAAACCAGCTGGGGCAGTTTCCTCCGCTATGCTTAGTGAGGAGACAGGAATCAGAATGAATTTTCCTGCCCATGCAATACTTCTCTTGGCAAAAGATGTGTCTCTTGGCAAATGCTTCTCAGGGGTGGGGTGGGGGAGGAATCCACTGATACTGTACTTCAAAGAAAAACCAGCCAACCTTGTATATTCCTTTATGTGAGTCATTGAGATTCCTTCATACAACTGAGGAAGAGGGTTACAAGGGAGAATATACTTGTAAGTAATGAGTCCTCAGAGCAACACAATGTGCTATGCCAATTCAAGAAAGAATGATCAAGAAAGAACGGTATTCTCTCTCAAACTGGCTCTGACTACACAGATGTACTCTACTCTATCAAATAAAAGTTTCAGCTCTAACCCCCAAGGAACACCATATTTTCTGAGCAATTGCACAATTGTCAGCATGGTTCAGGCTATAGCATATGTCTTTTGCCTGTGGGAGACATTCTGGGGCCTCATCAAATGTTTTACTGGGCAAAAATAAAGCTTCTAGGAAAAACTAGATAGTTTCAGTTCCTGGAAGGGGAAGATTATAATTCATCCTAGTTGCAAGAGCAAGTTCCATACAAGCAAAGTTGTGCTTTGAAGTACCACAGCGAGCTTTGTGGCTGGTTGGGAGTTTGAACCCAGTGCTCCCAATTTTAGACCTGCATTTTAATTGCTACTTTGGTTCTATTAAACTGCATCATCTACCTTCAGACCTCTGGGCCTACCTGTCTTTAGCAAAGAAGATGATGATTAGTTGGAACATTCTTTCCAAAGGAGAAAGAAAGAAAGCGATCCCATCACAAAAATGTAATCATACACCTGTCATTTCCAAAGGTTTATCACACAACTGGCATTCATTTCCAAATCTTTGTTGAGTCTTTCAATTATGGATTGCCCTTCTGCCAAGCATAAAGGCCAGCTATTTAAATGGCTTCATTGGCCAGCTAAGCTGCTTTATTAACTTCTGCTTGAATATATGTAAAAGATAAGGCATCTTGAGCAGAATAATAAACTGAATTAAAGGTACATAAACTTTCAACTGATTCTCTGAAGAGCTAGAGAGGAAAGGAAAATCCATTAGTATCCTCTAAACAAGGACCTTGTACTAGGACCTGGTCTGAAAATTCATCTTAAGAAGCCTTGTTTTGCATAATGTATTTTAAATCAGCTAGGTAAATTTCAAGATTGATTTTCAAACTGATATTTAATGGACACTTGAATTTATAGAATCCCAGTTAATAATGAAGGAAGCCTTGAGTATGGAGAAAATAAACAACAATTATCTTAATGCAGAGGCCAGGTGTCTACATCTGGTCATGTTTTAAAGAGTGTGAGAGCCCAGATGTTGGCTGTAAATCCCTGCTGATATCAAAAAATATACCCCAAGTTTCATTAAAGTTCAGAATGGGGCCACATAGCCAACGGGGATGATTCTGGATGAGCAATGCATGCAAAAGCCGACCAATTCCCAGGTAGGCTCCCCATTGAAGTCCCTTTTGTTTGGGAAGCTGTGCTGGCATTAAAAAAAAATCTACTACTGCTTGGTGAGGCAGATATACTAATACAGCTTAAAGGCTATCATTTTTATTAGCTGACCAAGTGCTTTGAGAGGTGGGTTGCCTCTTTGCCACCTAGGAACCTCCCTTATGGCTGTTTTTCCCCTCTTCATCTCATACTAAACGCCGGTTGTCAGGCTGAATACATCACTTCAGAAGGTGGAAACTGTGCTCTTGGCAGGGGGCGGGGGGCAGAAAAGCCCTACTAGCCCCTGGGAGTTCCTTCAAATGGGAACAAACTGTGGTGCCCTGTAAAAGCCAAACAAAACAAAACAAAACCCTCCTTTGGAAATTACTGGTTCCTCTAGGAAGCCACTTACTCTGCAAAGGTAAGTGATAAACACGGACCATCATTCAGATGCCAGCTCAGCCATCTAGTTGCCCCTTGGCAAGTTAGTCCAACAGATCTGGTGGGCACCAGGTTGCAAAAGGCTGGTATAGGGATGCTCTCAGGAGTACAGCATCAACTTATTCACCAGAGAGGAGACAGACATATCCAAACTTGTCTATCATGCAAAAGGAGGAAGGAGGAAACTAGGCCAGTTCTTCTCGGCATATCTCCTAGCCATTGCTTCTGACTCTTGACAGAATGGTGAGTAGATTA